TGCAATGTGACCCCACAAAACGTGGCTCCCTTGACGGAGTGTGGAGGGAACTGTTCTGGCTGCAGTGATTTTCAGTGTTTGTCAGTGCTAGGTGTTGTTGCATCAGGCGCAGATCTGTGTCATCACCAAAATGGTCTGACCAACCAATTAGAGTGAAAGATTCACATGTATGGTGATATGGGGCCTTCCAAATTCCAGCATTCATTTGTATAACCCAAGCTGAGCAGCAGCCAGGAGGGGAGAGCTCCAGGCTCGGCTCTGCTCTGCTGTTGCATTATTGCCAGGGAGAGTGGGACAAAGTCCTCAGCAGCTGCTGTTGTGTAAGTGTCTGTCTGGGTTTCTGCAGCTTCATATGAAGAGAATGTTTCAAGATCACTTCTGGGCCAAGAGATTAAGTGGACAACAGCAAATAGGATTAACCTTTTATTAGAGAGATGCTTCGTTAATGATATATTTGCATAGGGAAGGGGCTTTTCTGGACTCTCAGCCTATATATTACTGGGTGCAACCAGAAGTGTCATGTCGTTAGTGGCTTTAGTCAACCAGAAAGACATGAATGATGAGTTTGGTGGGTGTGTAAGAGGAGTTGCATGGGAGTTATACTTTCCACAAATGTGAGACATTACAAAGAGCAACTGAACATTTTGGTGTGGTTTCAGCAACATTCTCATATGACGGGATAGGGATCAGGGGCTGGCCAGCCAAGAGCAAGTGTAGCATGACCAGCAGAAAGCCAGTGGATGGAACTGCCTGCAAGCAAGAAAGGAGATCAAAACACAGAATCCAGAGAGGAGCTCATGGGACTGCTGGCTCCGAGGGCTTTCTGTGGGCCACCACCCAATGGGTGTGAAATAAGGGCCTGGTTGCCAACTTTGTCACCTGTTATTCACTTGTTTTTTCCAATACAAGGATGAAGTGTTAACCAAGAGTGATACAAGGACTATGCATGCTCCCCTACAGTTCTCCCACTTTTTGCTGGCCTGCAGCATGAGCCCGAACACACTACTCAAGGAAAGCCTACTGGACAAAGTCATATTCAAGAGGCCATAAAGAATGGTCTTGGGCTTAGTCTGTGATTGCATTGAGACTTTTATAACATCTTCTCACTTTTTAGCTAGCACTTTGAGGAGGTATGTGGTCATGTTGCTGCATTGGCTAATCCAACCAGCTTAGTTTTGGAGCTGATTCTGTAAATATAAGAGCAACCCGCCTACTAGCAGTTATTAATGGACTGTGTGCACAAAGTTCCATGTGCGGGTGTGCATAAGTGTGTTTAAAGAGTGAGAGAGAGGATGCTTACAGGATGTAGCTTTGTGTAGAATGGATATTGTAAAGTAGAATTGCAAGTGGTGAAGTTACTGTGCTGTGCAAGGAAGTAATGGAAAAGTTTTGCAACCAGATGCTTTTTCATAAATATTTGCAATACATTGGTATTGGTTTTACTATATTGGTATGATTATGTTTTACTGGCAAATGTCACTACCCAGCCAACGATGCAGTAAAGAACAGAGTTTTTAATCAATAAGTGTTTGTCATGCCAATTTATTTTTCCCCCTCCCCTAGCCTGTAACCACACAATTGCTTTCACAGTGGAAAGAACTTAAGATGAATGAGATTCAGCCTCAAAGGGGTACATCAGAGGACTCTCTTTTGAGGTTAACATCTTTTTTATGTGGATTCTTGGGTTTTAGAATCCAAAAATTGCTACGTTTTTAAGTTAAAAGAGTGCAGCCCAGCTTAATGATGCAATAAAATGTGAGAGTTGCAAGATAACAGGAACTCAGCAGAAAGGTCAACACACAGACATGTGTCAGAGGGCATTGTGTTCCACACATTAGAAATCATTATCTCCTCCTTGAGCCACCAGCTTCAGCACTCTGGATTTCCTTACACTGGGAAGTATTTAGATACACAGAGAAAAATTCAAGTATCAGAAATTGCCACAGGGATAGATTTAGCCCACTGTTAAAGACCCAGTGGCTACTTCATGGAAAATGATCCATTCCATAATAACTATACTTAGTACTTATTCTCTTTTTGTCAACCTTTACCAATCCTTACAATACTCTGGAAAGGAAGCAAGAATTATTCTTACTGCTGTTTTACAGCTAGGTAAAAAGGATAAAAGAGCTGAAATTCCCAAGACCATGAAACAAGTTGATGGATAAAAAGGCAAGGGCTTAAATCTGGGTCTCTCATTCCCCAGTCTTACTTTCTAACTATTAGATCATGCTGCTCAGCTCAGAAGCAATTACACTTACTGTGGCCTTGTCTACACAAGATGCTGGCTATGCAGTCATTGCTGCATAGTCATTTAGTACTTGTGTATACACATGTACTAAACAACTGTGCAGTAACTAGCATTCCTGTGTGTGCAGTAGTATCACCAAACGGCTTTTAGGTGATGCTGACTGCGCAGTAGCTCCTTACTACTGCACAGTAACATTGCATCACGCTTCCTGCCACGTGACACTACTGCGCAGTAATAACAAGCTACTGTACAGCCAGCGCCTCATGTAGATACTCCCTGGTTTTACCTAATTCCTTACCTGGGAGATTATTAGGAACAATGCTGCACTTATTTTTTCTAGAAACCTGTTCCTGTTTCTTCTTCAGCTTCAGTCATAGCCATTTTTGCAATCAATGGCCAATCCTGGAAAGAGATTCTATTACTTCTTAAACTGGTTTATTTTCCTTATTTATTGCAAGTCAAAAACACACTGCTCAATGATGTAATTGTTACTTATTCATAAGTACACCTGGTCTGCTGTTATTTTTGAGAACTGAATATGAAATAGAGAATTGACCATGGTTCCCATCAACTTTAAGACTTGCATTCACACTACACAAGGACTTGCCCACAGATCCAAGTTAGCAATGCCTGCCCAAGCAAGGTTGCCTGGATGGGTTAGTGTGTCTGGTTCTAAAATGAATTGTCAGTGTTACTGTGAGTGGAACAACATAGTTCTGTGGTTGTGTTAAGAACTGTATCTTAACCCAATGCCAAATGGTAAAACAGGAGGTCAATCCAACTAGCAGTCAAGAGCAGAGGCTTAAGGATACAGCCAGGTGGCTGGGGCAATTACTACATACAGGGGTAGTGGTAACTTCTGGTTACCACTGCTGCTGTGTGTCTGCAATGGAAGCCAGATTATTTTCACCCTCCCCACCACATTTGGCATCTGGGACAGCTACCCTGAGGCTGTCCCCTAGTTACACCACTGGTCAAGAGCTCCTGCAACATGGTTACAGCTCTGCATTGTCCAGCATCCTCCAGCAACAAAAGAAAATACCTGGACATCCCAAAATGCAATAGACAACTTTGCAAATGTAGAGTTTATATTGCTATGGAAATGCTTGTGTTACAGAACTCATTGTTGTGTCCCTAGCCCATAACTGTATTTTAGCCTTTAAGGCTACATGAGGGGTACAAAATTTGCATAAGATCCTTTTGTCCCTTCTTAAGGAAAAGTAACTTTTGTACAATTTTCATGCTGCAGAAGCACTGTGGCCTAATGGACAGAACAGTGGGTCAAAGTAACATGGGATCCAATGTCCACCTAATATTTCATTTTCCAGATGACAGAAATGCCATCCAGGATGATTTCAATTAAAAGGCAGCCCAGGAAGGGGCAGCAGTAGGGTGAAAGCTTATGGATGTAATTCAGACTTCCTTCTGTGGGACACAAAGAAATGGCCAAGGAAAGACAGTGCAACTGTAACTCACAAAATAATTGGAACAGGTTCCAGATTATCCAGGTGTGACAGGCTCCTGCCCAGCACTACTGCTGCAGTGTCATAGGTGTGCCCTGTACCAACATCACACCTCACCTGGTTGCCTGCCATGACTTGATGTTCAAATGATGACCCTGTACTCACCTGGAGATGCTCCAGTGCTTTCTTGTGGGCTAGATGTGACTACAGTGGCACGTCTTTTGTGCTGGGCCAGGTAAGCTTCACCTTGGGGCAGCTATCTTCATGCCCCTATGAGGCCTGTGCTCCCTCCCAGCCACCTGCAGATGAATAGCCAGTCCATGGTGGGCCCATGTGCTGTGGGCATGGCTTTAGGGACCCTTTCCCTAGTTACCCTCTGTGGGTGGTCCCTGGGTATCTGTGGCCAGAATGGCTGAGTTAGGGTCCTCACACAGGTGTCTCCAGATGATGGCTCAAATCCTGCTGTGCTGCTGCTTGGACCTGGCTCGGTCCTTCCTGCAATAGGGTTTACCAGCAGCCTCTCCCCATTGCATCTGGCAGGAACTGAGATCCCAGTTTCCCCTCTTGTCTACCCTGGACGGGGTGCAGCTGGCTCCCCAGCTGCTGTTTGCAGTGCAGCTGGCTGGCTATCCCCTGTGGCATTCCCGGTCTGTACTGCCTCCATTTTTCCTGCCATAGAAAGAGCATTCCAGGCTCTGCCAAGGGTGAGAATGGCTGGGGTTGTCTCCAGTCCCTCCACTGCTATTCCCCCCTGCCCCTGTCTGCCTCATGCTTTTGGCCTGTTGCCCAGGGGCTCCGAGTCAATCAGGAGTATACTTCTGGCTGATGAGGTGTTGGTATGGTAATGTGGGCTCTGTGCTACAGGTAGGGAAGATGGGTGAGGGGCTGTTACAGCAGGCAAAGTTAAATCCACAGTGTTTAATATGAGCTTCCTAACTAATCCCCAATCTAACAATGTAGGCTTCAATAAGATTTATTCCAAAGTTGAATTTACCCGATTGATTCCAGTTTTTAAGCTCCTTGAGCTCACTAAGACTATATCCACAAGAAACCCAATAATTCATTTAGATCCATACAAGAAGTTAAGAAGTTGCTTTACACCCTCCATGGGCTGCCCAAGCCCCAGAAGAACTACGGACCCACCAGTGGAGACCAGGGTACCAGCTGTGACAGGCCCTGGCCAACCACCTCCTCCTGCACTCCCCTCTCTAGCCCGCCTGCACTGCTGCCCACAGACCCCCTACCCTCCCACCCACAACATGCACCACACTCACTGCAGATGCATGAGAAGAAAAAGTCTTTATTTCCCCCACATCCAACACAAATCCTCCCTCCTCAACACACAGAGCCCCTCCACCATCCAGCCTACCCCACAACCATAAGAAACACTCTTCCCTGCAGAAACTATGTACAAGGTGGATTTTTTCTGGAGTCCCAGAGTGAGCGGCCTTGGGATAAAGGCACCTAGGGGGCAGAGCCCAGGGACAGGTGGCCAGCACCCCAGCCTCTGGCCATTCCCCGATGGGTCCTCATGCTGCAGCAACTGCGGTGGGCAGGGTCTTGCCCAGCAGGGCAATGGTACCTGGTGATCCTCCAGGGTGAGCAGCTTCCCCTCTGGCTGGCAGAGTCGAGGCCCAGCATGGCCAATGTCCAGTCCTGGTGCCTCTTCAGGCAGTTCCAGCTCCACATCTGGAGCAGGGGCGAATGGCCTAGGCCCAGGTTGGTGGCAGCAGACCCAGGGTGGGGGCTAGGCCAGGGGCTCCTGGCAGCAGAAGGTGATGGAGGACCTCCTCCCAGGCCCAAGCAGGGGCTTGCTGCAGGGCAGCAGACAGCTGCCAGGGGGCCTGCAGGTCTTGGGATGGGGACCAGGCAGCAGCGGACTGGAGCGGGATGGAAAAGGAGTACATTTAGACATCGTTTACACACCTAATAAGTAGACTAGACTCTGGCCCGTAGGGTGCAGAAGTATGTGGGGCAACTTACCCACTGAACGCTTAGCTAGACCAGGTGGCTGTGGAGCATGTGAAACCTTAGCTCCATGCTCTACTTACTGACTGGAGTAGCTGAGCCAGAGCCAGAGGATATGATAAATTACTGATGGCATAGCAGTAAATTACCACATGCCTAGAGTAAGGAAAAAGCCAGGAGGGAGCCATGCTTCAAAAGATTGTCTCTGAGGCATGCTGCTCATTGGATGGCACAGTTTGCATAATATTCCACCTTGCTTAAGGTTGTTTCAAGTCATGATTAGCTTTTTGAACTTCAGATGTATGACTAAATCATCCAGAAAAATTGCTGCATCCTAAAGCATTAACATTACAAACCCCTCACATGCTACCCGTCTTCACAATTACTCATAAGTTTGTCTAGCCACCTCCCTCTCCAACACATTCCCATGACAGGCTCCCTCCCAATACTAACTCAGACCCACCTGTTATCTTCACACTACAAATCAAACGCTTCACCTTAACTTGACCTGCAGTGGTAAGTCTGATGAAGGCATAACTACACACGTGTAGAAGGAAGAGCGATTAGAATAGCACTTTAAAAGGTAAAGGTGCCACTTTTCCTGATGGGTGAAGAAGTGATCACTGATCATTATGGTGGAAGTACCTGGGCCTGGCCCCTAGGAGGTGCTGAGCACTGTTAATTCCCTTTGACGTCAGGAGTTGCTGTGGAAACATGATACTTCATAAGGGTAAGCAGGGCAAATATTGGGGTAATGCTCTGACAGAACCATTCAGAGGCACTAACATGATTAGTTGTTGGGTTACTTGGCCATAACATGATTTAGCCCATGAAGAAGAATGAGACCAAATAGTTCTAGAAAAGGAGACATCCGTAATACTCTGTCTCCTGAAAGTCTCACTTTTTATTCTGTAGGTGCATCAGTTTATCCAGAGAATCACACCATGTCAGCGCAGAGCAATAAACGCTTGCCCTCTGAGACCATGGAAACAGATCCATCTTACCTCTTTGGTATGTTCTATCCATATTTTAAATGACCAGCAGGCTGATATTTGCTCACCTCTTCTGTGCTGTTCGTTCCATCAGAGGGGAGTCAGACTTCAGATGAGATTATTTAGTCTGAGGGAACAGGAAGGGGCAGGAGAACAGCATATAATGTAGCACAGTGGGGGCTAACCTTTTCGGCAGGCATGCCACAAATTAGCCCTACACCCTTCTCAAGTGCCACTCTGATCTCCTTCCCCTGCCTGATCTTCTGCTCTGCTTTCTGCTTCCTTCTCTATACTCCCTGCTTGATCCGATGCTCTGCTTGCTGCTCTCTCCCCCATCTGCTAGCGTGCTGCCTGACCCCTCCCCATTCAGCTGTGTGCCACATACAGAGGCTTCCCATATCACTTGTGGCATCCATGCCTCACATTGGTCTACCCCTGACTTAGCAGAAAGCTACTGCTGCATCAGGGGCATCAGGGCGTGGAATAGGAACTCATTAGATTAGCTTCTGGGGAAAAAAGTGGGTGAGAGAAAATAGATTTGGGTCATCCAAAAATAAGTGGGATTCATTATTCCTTTGAGTCATTTTTTACTTCTTGGTGAGCATGGTATCAATGTCCAGACAGAAAAAGAATGAAAGATGATACCTCACTGTTTGGAACACTTCTCTACAGAGGAGAAGAGAAAACATAAAAGGAGGAACCAAGCTATTTGGTGGGAAGTTAGACAGACATATAAGATGGTGGCAGGTGGGAAGGAAGTCGTTTAACTCAGGAGGCTCTGCAGAGCTGAATGAAGGCAAGAAGTTACGCCCTAGTATGAGGTATATTTCCAGTCATGGCCTAAGCCCATAACCTAAGAATTGGGAAGAGGGCCAGGAGCTAGGATGGCCTCAGCTCTCATATTACCTGTTTCAATAACTCTAATTACTGTAGGTCCTACCTCCTCCCATGGGAGAGCCTACCTCCTGGAGCTACAGCAGGGGTGGGCAATTATTTTGGGCGGAGGGCCGCTTACTGAGTTTTGGCAAGCCATTGAGGGCCGCATAACAGACAGCCAGGGGCAGATAAATATTGATTTTCCAAATTTTTTAGGGGCTCCGTGGGCCAGATAGAATGGACTGGCATGCCGCTTCCAGTCTGTGGGCCACATTTTGCCCACTCTTGAGCTACAGTCAAGCTCCTTGCTTGATCTTCTCTCTCCACTAATCCTTTACTCTCGGCTGCCAGCTCCAACAGGAGGGGTTCAAAGGTCCTTGCCTATAGCCTGGTGATTATTAGGGTGCACCAAATGGGAGATGTAGCTTTGAATCCCTTCAGGCTGAGGACCCAAAGTCCAGGCCTCCGACTTCTTGCACAAGTGCTTTCTTTGCCAGGCAGTTTTGCAAAATGTGGTTAAATCCACCCCACCAGGTCTCTTCCACAATGAACTGCAAGCATGCTGTGAGCATCCAGCAGTTCCTAGGCAGTTCCTAGGCATGATCTGCTGCTGCCTAATGAAATGGCAACTAAAGCAGAGTTTGTGCACCTCCCAGGGAGTGCAAACAGAAGTGCAGCTCCAAGCTGTAACTCAGAACCATCTCTGCAAAGCGTTCAGAGTTACAACGTTTCCCCAAACCGAACAGAAGTTCACTATTAGTTCAGGGGGGGAACTAGCTGTGGGCTGGGAGCCTGCAGTCAGGTTCCCATAGCAATGGCTGGGCTCTCTGCCAGTGCTCCTGTTTTCAGAATGGGAGCAGGGAAAGGCAGTATAAGGAGCTTGTTTTTGGGGCTCCCCAGCCAGTGCTGGTGGGTGGGGTGGATGAGTTGGAGCCCCCACACCTTGGGGTTGGGGAGCTCCAATACGTATGCTGTACTGCACCTTGTCATGCATCCAAAGTTGCATCTCAAGCCGGTCCAGAGATGTGATACTCCCCCTCTCTGTGACATTGGTGCAGCCTCAATTGGAGTACTGCATCCAGTTCTGGGCACTGCACTTTAAGAATGATGTGGCCTGCCTTGAGAGGGTTCAGAGGAGGGCCACCCACTTGGCACCAGGGCAGGCCTTATGAGGAGAGGCTGAGGGACCTGAACCTGTTCAGCCTCAGCAAATGGAGGCTGAGGGAGGATTTGGTGGCCGCCTACAAACTCGTTAGGGGAAATCAGCAGCAAATAGGAAGGGTCCTATTCCCCCCAGCAGCACCTGGGGTGACAAGGAACAATGGCCACAAGCTGCTGGAGAATAGGTTCAGGTTAGAGATTAGGAGGCACTATTTCACTGTTAAGGTGGCTAGGATCTGGAACCAACTTTCTAGGGAAGTGGTCCTCGCTCCTACCTTGGGTAAATTCAAAAAGAGGTTGGATGAACACCTGTCTGGGGTCATGTGATCCCAGCATGTGCTCCGGCCAGTGGTGGGGGGTCAGACTAGATGATCTATTTAGGTCCCTTCTGACCAGCAACAGGCTGGGAGCTTAGCAGACACAAGTTACAGAAGACGTTACATTTTGAAATGTCTTCATCTGATACATCATGCAATGAGGGGTCAGAGTTTCACCTTATTGGCCATTTTTGAAGATGTCTGCAGCTGTGCATTTGTGCTTGGTCCCAGCTATAAACTGCTTTCTGTGGCCAGACCCCGCAAAAATTAGCACTTTTGTCTGCACCCGTCATCCTGGATCATGGGCGGTGGGACTCAGGTGCCTTTGTGGCTGATCTACATAATTTCTCAGTCCAAGTCTTGGAGCTGAGTGTCACAACCAAATTTAAAAAGAGTGCTGGCTAACACAGTGTTAAGCACAGAGATGCACTGACAAGTAAGTGGAAAATCCCTAGAGGGCTAGTGAGCATGCCCTGCACATGCCGCACGCTTGACCCCACGCTTGTCAATCATGATTCTGCCATGAGGTAATCTGAATTGGCAACATGCGCATGCCCAGGCTTATACCAGAATGAGCTAGAACTTTCCAAAAGGGAACTATTTGACTGGCTGACCGAATCATATTTAAGGCTTGTGAGTTTCCACCCATGGCGGAGACCAGACCCGACCTGAGCAGAGACTGCTACCGCAGAGACTGCTTCAGGAAAGCCTCTTAGGCCTAGAGCCCTGGTTCGCTTCCCAGAGCCCTGCTGGTCTCCCCGCCACCATCGTACCTTGGCGTACCCTTTCTTAATAACGCTTATCTCGTCTCAGTTACTCATTATCGATTATCGTTCCAGTTTTGACTACCCATTTACTGCGTTCTGATTACTCGTTCCTCGTTTACGATCTCGATTACTCATCACGTTCCGGTTATCTACGTTTTGGCACCCGTTCTACGTTTATGACTCGTTCATCTCATTCCGGTTACCTCTCTCTCGTTGTTCGTCCCCGCTACCGTTACCGACCTCAGTTTCGTTTCTCGATCTTCGCTTCTCGTTATCGTTCACCATTCACGTTCTCGTTCTGTAACCAAGTTGACCTGCCTACGCTACCTCACCATCTAGTAGCGTAAGTAAACAATAAAATTTGTTCTGTTTTGAAACCACACGCTTGTCCCGCCTGCTCTGACTCCTTGCCGCTAATCCCACCTGTTTGTTCATGCTCGGCCCATCGTGACACCGGGGCACTCAGCTCCGACATGGCGTCATGAACAGGATTAATGGGAGGTGAGTTAGAGTCAGAGTTGATCCGTCACTGCCCATGGTGCAGTGGAAGCCGTCCGACCAACGACCTGGACGACTTGTGGGCACACATAGTGTACCATCAGGCCACCCACCTGGCCGAGTTCATGATCAATGGGTACCTGTCCTTCCGCGGCACCAGTGGGAAAGAGTGGGCTGTCCGGCTCAACCCCGGAGCATTCGGCTGCATTATGTGGGATCCCAGGGCCGTCTATCGCCCAAGGGAAGAAACCGGGTCCCTGTCCCTTGCCCACCTGAAATCTTCGGGCGCGGCGAGTCCCAGCCTGGCCCAAGAATTTGCCCAGTGTGTGAGGTATATGAAGGAGGGAGGAGAAGACACCCCGCCGGACAGATTTAACTGCCCAAGCCTCACGCCAGGATCAAGGGGGCACGAGCTGCTAACGCAACTCCGGGAGAGTTTGGAGGTTAATGGGAGAAAGGCCAAATGGACTGGCCTGAAATGGAAGAAGGGGAAAATGTTGAATACTTTATTTCGAGAATATGTTATCGTGCTGAGGGAAAACGCAGATTTAACCATGCAGTTTGAGACTGCTGGCCGAGCTGCCGCTGAAAATTTAGCAGCGCCGCCATTGCAAGATGGCGCTGGCAGAGGGGAGAGCGCACCAAAAAGCGCGCCAACTCCAACTCCGCCCACCTGAAGCGTGCCTCCTGCCATAGCACCACCCACGACGTCAACATCACCACCACCGTATGTGAAACAGTGCCACCTGGAGGAAACGGAAACGAAAGTGAATAGCGAAACCGAAAGCGATGGAAAGACAGCTATGGGAGAGAGAGCGACTGCTCCAGCACAAGATACCTCAACACAAGATACTGAGTTAGCAACTGCATTGCCCATTTCTGTGTGAAAGTGGGTAACTGGCCCTCAAGGCCAAGGAACTCAAATCACTGTCATGACAAGAACCCGAACTTGAACAGAAATGAACAATCTAAGAAAAGAAACTGGAATAAAACCTGAGGAAACACCAATAGTATGGTTAGGTAGATTGATAGCCGAAGCAGGAAATGAGACTGTTGATGAAGATGAAGCCATGCAGTTTGTGAGGAACACTGCCTGGAGCAAGGGCAAAGTAGTGGATCCAGTACCTGTACTGGCCAACAACTACTGGCCCATCCCACTACCTGCTCTAGTGGTGGAAGCCTTACAACGGAAAGTGCGTACATGGCATGAAGGTGCAACGAACCACACCGATGCAAGCGCCCTAGTTTACGCCATTCTTGGAGCATCTTATGCATCATGGAACCCGGCCCAGCAAGCCCTGAACCTAATACCAGCTCAGGCACAGGGAGCTTGGCCTCATAGGTTCACTACAAATCCTGGGAATGTACCATGCTTATTGGAAGCTGTTGAAGCAGCCACAGAAGTCTATGGTGGAAGCCAAAATTTAACAGCTCGATTGCTTCTGAATCCATCTGTGAATGGTCCCATAGCCCACGTATTGGGACAATTAGGAAAATTGCAGGGAGGCAA